GGGGGCCCAGATCCGAGCCGGGGACAAGGCTTTGTGGGGAGGAAAGACCGGCCCGGCCACCCGACGAGGAAGCGATCCTCCTCAGCCAACGGTCTTCAACGGCCGCTCGCGCGGGGATCTGGTCCAGAGCACGTGGGCCTCCCCTTGGGCCCCGCACCCACGCGCATCAGCAGCAGCCGCCGCTGACAGGGCAAGGCTGGCCTCTGGGCGGCGAGGCTCCAGGGAAGGCGAAAGACCGCGCGGGGCTCACCTCGGCCTGCTTCCGGATAACGTTGTCCGGGCTGAGCAGGTTGCTGAGAAGAAGGTAGAACTGCTGTTGCTCTTGCTCCGCTGCCGCCGCCATGGCTGCCAAAAGTGAGGGAGGCCAGCCGGGCAGCGGGAGAGGGAGGGAGGCGGGCGCTCCAGGCCGCGCACCGACCCGACGGAGGCGGAGCTGCCACAGCGCCGCTCTTGGGAGGTTTCTCCCCAACCCCGCCTCGGCCAGACAAAACCCCTCCTGCCGGTCGCCAGGCTGCCGTGCTGACATTGGCTGCGGGGCCGGACGGGTTTCTCCTCTGATTGGACGGCCCTCGTATCGCTTTTGTGATAGGGCATGAGGAAGCCATTGTGAAGTCATTTCCCGCCATGCTTGCCCGGGTTACCCGGGTCCCTATCTGACGGATGGGAGTGGGGCGGGATTGGGTTTTGTCGAGCTGAGCGGCCATTGGCGGGAGGCGCTCGCAGCTGCTTTTTGACTGGGCGGGAAAATCCAGGGGGAGGGGGAGGGGGAGGGGGGGAAGAGAGGAGAGAAAGCGCGGGAGTTTGGGAGGCGAGGGAGAGGAAAGCGCGCGAGTGGAGGGCCGGGCCTCCTCCTCCTCCTTCCTCGCTGACTGAGGGAAAAGGGTCGTTCGGACGCCTCGCCGCCGCTTCTTCTGCCGCCATTCCTCCGGCCTGAGGGCCGTGACCTCTGAATAAATTCCTTTGAGGGGCGAGGTAAGGCGGTTGGGGGAGAGCATTTTCAGCCTGGGCCGCCATCTATTCCAATTACGCGTGTAGTGTTTGGTTGGAGAAAGTGGCCTTTGGGGTGTCTTAATCCAGGACCCGTTTTGGGCCGAGAAGCAGGCATCGTAAATTAATGCCGGGAAAGTGGGTTGAAAAAATGTTTGCCTTAGAAACTCACATTTTCTTTAAATGGCTTCTGCGTTTTTCGGTCTTTTGACCAGAATGAGGCTGTTAGCGTGTATACTCCGTTGAAGCAGGCAATGATGTTAAGCATAGGTTTAAACTGGGGGGGGGCTTCTCATTAAGCTGGAGGGCCTGGGCACCACCCCATATAGGGGGCGGTGGCCTGGGCCTCCCCGAGGTAACCAGTCCTTGGCGGGTATCTACGAACGCACACGAGGGACTCCGTTAAAATGGCCTCTGAAACACACGACTGCCCACCCTTCCTATTGTATTATATTACGGTTTCCATGATCCTTTGGGGCTTTGTTCCTGTTTGTTAGTATGTGTCTGTGTGTTTATTAAGAATTTATACTTCAAAAGGAGTTGTGGTTTATATAACCAATTTACAAATAAATGTTACATAAGAACGAAGAACCTCTGAAAGAAGGTATATGATTTTTAAAATTAGGCTCTCAGAAGGCAAGATTTACACGCAAGCAACACTATGTACCCCAAACAATGCAAGAGAAAAAAATTATGAAAATGTTTTCCAATCCATTTTAGACTTTCAAGAAAAATAGATAATGATCTTCCTTAACCCTGGCTTGGTCCACCCACTTTCAATGCAGCAACAGTCAGACTGCAAGGCCTCTGTTGAGCCCAACATACTTTGTGGCTAACAGCCACTGATGGACCTCTGCTCCATATGCTTATCTAATTTCCTCTTGAAGCTGTCCATGCCACCACCTCCTGTGGCAGTGAATTCTATGTGTTAATCAAAGTGCCCATGAGTTCTTGTATTGTTTTTTTTCTGTCAGAACTCGCCAGAATCTCTTCGACTCCTCCTGACTCAAGGCTGATGGCTCCATAAGAGCCACCCCAACCATCTGACTGAGCTCCCTGAAGCAGAGGTGTACCAGGAGGAGGAAGGAGGCAGAGGCAGTTTTCATTGAATCAAACAACAGCAAACAGTAAGTGCTGTAATCATTAGAGAAGAAATGAGGGGGGGGAACAGCTGAGTAGCACTTTCAGAACTGCAGCAAATGTATTGCTATAGGATTTGTGGATTCTTTTGGTAGATAGATATTTTGTGTCCTCTTCAAGCCTGTGATTTTCTAAGTTTGCTGAAGTGGATGCTGAACTAGTTCCTTTTTAAAGTTAATGGCCCCACCAAGCTTGTTAAGCATTCTTTTTAAAATGTCTACACTCTAAAGAATTGGTCCAGTAGGTGTGTATTGACAATCGTTCACCACCTAGGCAGCTATAGCTAACGAACTAGTTTCAAGCGTATAATAGTATCATTGCACTGTGGCTTACTTTGCATGGTGGTTGCTTGGATAAAAAGCTATGAAATGCTTTGGCAAATTTGAAATGGTATTACAAAAAGTTAGAAGCGGCAGGGATTACACCCTGGCTGCACAACCAGGCAAGCCTGTCCCAGCAGACATTCTGACATATTATTTCAACCTATGATTAACATGGCTATCCCTTCTCCTGTATTTTATATGTAATTTCTCCTCCTTCAGAATCCTGATATTTTCCTTTGAATTGTTTTCAGTCCTCCATTCAATTTACCATGGATAGATTTGGAATTATAAAGAAGGAAGTCCTTTCTGATGCTGAAGATTCCTCTTGTACACCAACAACATCGTTCAGGAAAGTGAAGCAAAAGCCAGGACAACAGGACAAAGATACTTGGAAAAGAACCTATGAATGGCTCTCTTATAATGTGGCAACGGAAAAAGCATATTGTGACATCTGTCGCTTAGCAGCAAATGACATGAACGTTCCTCTTCCAAACACATCAAGAGACAAGGATGCTCGTGAAATTTTTGTTCAGAATGGCTTCTCAGACTGGGAAAAGGCACCGTTTAAGTTTCACAGCCATCAGAATTCTAACTTGCACCGTGCAGCTGTCCAAGCTATAGCCTCTGTTAAAGAAGGGTTAAATGCACATAGCAAGTTTTCAGAAAGCCAGCAGAAGCAAATGCAAGATGCTAGAAAGGCACTGCTGACAATTTTATCATCAGTAAGATACCTTGTCTGTGAGGGCAGTGAAATATGCAGCCATGATGAGGAAGAGTCAAACCTGAAACAGCTCTTGCTGCTACGTGCTGAAGATATTCCACAGCTGAAATCATGGTTGAATCGTACAAACTATAAATGGATTTCACCTACCATTGTAAATGAGATGCTTGAGATCATGGCTCACAATGTTCTACGTACACTAGCGAGAGAGATTAGGAAAGCTGTTTATTACAGTATAATTATTGATGAAATTACAGATATCACCACACAAAAACAAGTTTCATTTTGCTTCCGCATTGCTACAGAGGATATGTTTGTGAAGGAATTCTTTTTTGGATTTTATGAAACTGCTGAAACTCTCTCATCTGTTTTGAATGATATACTCTGTCACTTTGATCTTTCTCTTGACAGATGTCGTGGCCAGTGCTATGATGGAGCATTGCATGTTGCTAGACATCTTAGTGAAGTACAGGCTCTTGTAAAGGCTGAGGAGCCAAGAGCACTATATGTTCATTGTTTTGCAAATGTTGTGAACTTAGTGGTACAAGATATGTCAGAAAATGTTACTATGTGTAGAAGTTTTCTGAGTGAGTTATCTGACATGATCACCTTTGTGAAAACTTCACCAAAATGTCTTGCCTTCTCTAAACACTTTCAGCAGGCAGAGAACATAAATCTGAGACAATTTTACTCCACTGGGTGGACTGTTAGAGCAGCTTCCTTAGAGGCAGTGGCTTCAAATTATGGGGAGTTAATTCAGTTATTTGAGAATGTATCTTCTGAGGAGGGAGGAGATCCTGGGGCAAAAGCAGATGGATATGCGCAAAGTTTGTGGAGTTTTTCTTCTTACTTCATGCTGCAGTTATTGCTACTTGTGTTTGGTTGTTTGGACACGTTAAACACAGCTCTTCAAAAAAGTAATCTACAGTTCCATCAAGCAGAACTTCTTTTTGCTTCTGCAAAGGAGAGTACAAAGCAATTGCAGAATAACTTTGAACAGTTCTGGTCACGGACAGTCACAACAGCAAAAGACTTAGATTTAGAGAGTCCTACTGTTCCTGAGTGCAGAAAGCCTGCACGATGTGTTGTTGCTGGGTGTGATGATCTTCACCAGTTTCAATCTCCTAAGGATTTCTACAGGAAAATCTTTTATGAAACCATTGATAATATCTTCAGCAGTTTAGACAGTCGCTTTCCCTCAGATGTGTTCCAACACATGAGCAAAATTGAAAAGTTTGCCATAGGAGAGGATGACAGTTCATACATTCTAAACTTTTACAAAACTGACTTGGATACTGCCCGACTACGGCTTCATCGGGATATGCTTTTGGATATTGCAAGGGAGCGGAAAGTTAAACTTTTAGCTCTTTGTGATGTGATTGATCTATTCAGTGGAGAACAAGGGAAAAGTCTCCATCACCTACTACCAGAATTAGCTAAACTTATCAGAATAGGCCTTACCATACCTGTTTCTTCCTGCACCTCAGAAAGTTCACTGTCATGCCTTCTTAGAGTAAAGACCTTTCTGCAGTCAAGCATGAGTCAGGCAGGGCTCAATCTCATGGCTATTCTTTATGGACATAAAGAGATCTCTCAGGAAATTGATCTTAACGTTGTAGCTAATGAGTTCATTCAGAGAACATCAATTAGAACAAGCACGTTCAGTGTCATTTAAGTACAGGGGCTTTTTGATTGTTACATCTTAACAAGTGGGTAATACTGAGATGAGGCAATATGTATAGGTTTGCTACTAATCATACCAACACATGCCAACTTTTGGGGTGGGGAGGTGAAGGTAAATTGGGAAGGATAGGTGGGAACAGGAGAAGGGGTAATAGGGAACCTGGAGAATATTTGGTTTTATTGTTAATTGCATTGTTATTTGGTTTTATTGTTAATTGCATTGTTAATTAAAAGTTAAAGTTGTTTCAGTTGTCTGAAGATCATTTGTTGAAGCTAAATGTGTTTTACAAGTTGAACCTAAAGACCAGAAATTAACTATGCACAGGAATGCAGTTATTTCCCATAAACTTAATTATTTTATTAATAATTTGTTCTGAATGTCTGTTTTTAGGGTGGAGTTTTTAAGCAGTATGGTAAGAAAGCAAGGTATATAAAATCCTAGGTGGCATAACTGTGAGTTTTCTTTGGGGCCATGGGTGTGGGCGCTATTCTAAATTACTTTAAAACGTGCTTGTACTCACTTAATAGGAGTTTGAAGTGAGAAGATTTGGCTCCCTAAATTTCTTAATCCCCCATGGCTCTGCCTCCATAGATAGTGGCAATGGAGAGCTCTCCCTGTGATGTTACTGGCTCCTCCCTATGATGTCACTGGGCCCCAGTCCTTTTAAGGACCTAGCATAGCAATGCCTCTGGCCCAGCCCCAGCCCCCGGGAACTGGAAAGTCTATGCCCTTAAGTGTACAAAAGAATAAGTACAGTCACACCATTCTCACTCAATGGGTTGTGAAAGGTTTAACTGTGTAGCATTGTGCTGTTAATCTTGTTTGCACAGGTTGATTTGCTTTTGTTTTTATTGCACCCACCCCACAATTATATTCCATCCACAGCCCAGTGACCTAATATTACAGGTCACCATCTATTCTGTTTTCCTGGACACTCAACCCCAACTGAGTGAGTCCTTTCTAGAGGTTTTTTGGTTTGTGGAAGAATTTAAAATTATATATACCAATATCTATATACTAATAGCCAAGACACCTCCTCTGTGCGGATATCTAAATCCGCACATGGGGGGCAAAGAGATTTTCCTGCCCACTTGGGGCAGTCCCCAGGTGTGCAGAAAAATCTGAAAAGTTTAAAAAACTATACAGGGGATACTGAAATCCCCCCAAAAGAGCATTCCTTGTGCATTTGCAGAGAATTCCCTGAGAACTGTCCCCCCGCTGCCGCCAGTGCTGGGGGAGGGAGAAGACTTGGTGGGCTGGTGACTGAGCCACTCAGGCCTCGCCACCAGTGCCGCGGAGGGGGTGGGAGACGGCTTGGCGTCAGGCCTCCCCGCCGGTGCTGCGGGGGGAGGGAGGAGGCTTGGTGGCTCAGGCCTTGCTGTGAAGGTTTAGCTGGCCTCGCCGTCGGGGCTGGGAGAGGTTTGGCGGGCCTAGCGGCTAGGAGCCGTGCAGGCCTCACAGTTGCTGCTGGGTGGGGAGAAGGTTTGGCGGGCCCAGCGGCTGGGAGCTGCACGGGCCTCGTCATCGGGACCAGGCAGGGGTGGGGGAGAAGGGGAGCAGGCTCACATGCGGTGGCTTCCTCTTCTACGTGGAGCTTCCCCCGTGAGTACTGCGGGTCCCCACTTCTTGTTATTTACTATTTTTAAGCTTTTTGTAATGAGAGCCTGCAAGCAGATTCTTTCCCTCACCCCAGTAAAAGATTCTCCCCCCCCCTTCCTTTTTGCTGCTTTTGCCTTAGAAGCAGTGAGGAATATGCATGTATGAGAGAGGCCTTTCCTCCAATATTCCCCGTGTGATGATATCCTGTCTCCAGACATGAAACTAGAAGATTTAAATCTTCTTTTGACTTCTTCCCTCTTATTTTATAAAAACAGAGGCTTTTGGGGCCACTTAGTCTGAGTCCTCAATGAGGGTAATGCTTGGATTCAGGGTGCTACCCATCATCCACAATGAGGGTAATGAGGGTAATGCTTGGATTCAGGGTGCTACCCATCATCCACATAGCGTATCATAATGTATTATGAAGGGGTTATAGCTTTGAAAGCTTCCTGAGATCCATCCAAATAATCTGACTGTGTGTATATTTCCTCATCAGATCAGTTAACAGTAGCCTTTGACAAACCTTTAATAATAGCCAACTTTCGTTGGAATGATCTTACCTAGCACCAATGCTCCCTCTAAGCTGTGGAGTCTTGTGAGCAAACATTCTACTTTGTGATCTACTGGCATTAAAGTTGTGAGCGAGCGATTTGATTACTGCATAAATTAGTTTGCTCTGGCGCCCTCCTTCCTGAGCTGAGACAAAAACGTGTGAGCTGGAAGCTAAAAAACTGTGAGCTAGCTCACACTAACTCAGCTTAGAGGGAACACTGCCTAGCACTTGGTTTTAGGTTTAGGCTAGTACACAATCACATAATTACCTTTGGGTTTTGGGGTTTGTTGATCCGATTGCCTACAATATGACCCAAACATTTGACTTTTTTCATTCCTACCTAGCTTTTTCAATCGGCATTGCAACACCTGGTCAATGTGAGTTATGTGTCCATAGTTTTTACTAAACATGCCAACACCAAAAAGAGACATCAGCCTCCACCTGTCCCACCCCCCAGAACAATGTGGCCTAAGTTAGGGTTAAAAATGTGACTAGCACCTCCCCCTGTAAACCGCCCAGAGACCCCCAAGGGGGTTAGGGCGGTATATAAAATCAAATAAATAAATAAATATGACAATCCAAACCCATCAGCAATTTGTTGACCAACCTTTGGAGTGTGGTAGTGGCATTTTGGATAACAAGGAAAAACTAAACTCACAAATCTCACCATAGTAATAAATGTAGTTTTGGCCTGATATTTCTCCAGCATGGGGACTTCCCTGTTAGAAAATCAGCCAGCCCCTAACACCTCAATTAATTCTCTCGGCTTTGGGTTTATGTCACCTTATCACCAAGAACCATCTTCCCAGATGTGGGTGGTTGCCTAGAGTGCCACTTTCAGAAGTCGGCCCCAACTTCTGTGCTGTGCTGTACTGTGCTCATGCTCCTTCCTCCGTCACCTCTTCTGCACCTCAGCAGAGGCCTAGGGCCTGTTGCCACCAAGTGCATGAAGGGACTTCAGTCTAACTCTGCTCGCGCTCTCCGTGCCCCACCCTGTGGCACAAAATCTCCCTCTGACAGGAAGAGTGGGCAACCTGCCCCTTTCAGCACTCCCAGCAAGAGGAGGAGCCGTTCTCTTACTCAGATAGGTTAAGCCCACTGTCAATTGGGAGTCGAGGAGGCGCAGCCAAGCACCTGCCGGTTTGGCTGGGGGCAGAGGAAAAAGAAAAGAAAATTAAGAAAAAGGCAAAGCGGGCAAGCCGAAGGAGCTGCATCGAGGTCGGCGGCAGCGCCAGCTGTGACACCTCCCCCCCACCTCCTTTCACACAGCCGTAGCCTGCCAGCCACAGTGACCCCTTCCTCTCTGCGCTGTCTGCCCCTCGATGCACCATGGAGGAGGAGTGGGCAGGAGAACAGATGAGACTGCTACTCACAATGGTAATGAAGTGGATGAGGGGCTGGGGGGTGACGAAGGTGCCCCCCTGCCCGCCTTTCACCCCCATGCTGGAGCTGCTGACTGTTCCCCTTTGTGAGGACTGAGTGGGTCCCCCCACTTGCTTCCTCTTCCCCTTTCCCTCCTGAGGTGGTGGTGGTGGTGCCACCAGTGGTGAGTCCTTTAATGTCTGAGGTGGTGACACAAAGACAGGCACTCTTCCCAGGTGTCAGTGGGTCCTGGAAGGGCCCGGGGGGGGGCGGAATCTCACCCCCATGCTTCTTTCCTGATGCCTTCCTAGCCACTGTTTACTGTCCAACCGTGGTGCCCAAAACTGCTGTCACTCATGGATGGATGGATAGATGGATGGGGGGGGGGGGCGGAGGGAGAGGAACACCCATACTGTTCTCACTTTTTATCCTTTTTTTAAAAACTCATTGCTTAAATATTCAATATATTTTTAGGCTCTGGAGGGGGGTGATGATGACAGATCCTTAGTTCTTCCTTACTTTTTGTTCTTTGTTCCTCCTGGATCTTCAGCATCTGTATTCCCTCTTTATCAAGCCCATTTCCTGGCTGTGTGTGTGAGACTTGGAGAAATGTATGTCCTAACAACTCCTCTGCTATTAGCCCATGGCTTTTGTTCAGGCATGGAGCTGCGGTGGCTCAAGTGGTTAAGACGCTGAACTGCAGGCTGTGGAAGGTCAGTAGTTCAGCAGTTCAGGAAGGAAACAGCGTCCCGTGTGCCTTGGTGTTTAGTCATGCCGGCCACATGACCACGGAAACGTCTTCGGACAGCGCTGGCTCTTCGGCTTTGAAACGGAGATGAGCACCGCAACCCTAGAGTCGGATTCGACTGGCTTTCGAGCAAGGGAACCTTTACCTTTGTTCAGGCAGAGCTCTTGAGAGGCCAGAGAGAGAGAGAGGAAGCTTGGGCTCTTTGTTTCAAGCCTGGTTGCTTCTCTCTGCCATCCCTTGGCTATCCCCTGCCCCATGCCAACTTCAGGCTCTTCAGCTCGCACTGGAAGTGTCAGACAGGGTAAGAGGGATAATGGGCTGGCTGGGGTGATCAACTTTTCTCCCTCCTTGTGGGGAGGGGAAGGGAAAGGAGATTGTAAGCCGCTCTGAGACTCCTTTGGGTAGTGAAGGGCGGGGTATAAATCCAATCTCTAATAATAATAATAATAATGAGGTTTGGATTTACACCCTGCCCTTCACTTGGAGTCTCAGAGCAGCTTACAATCTCCTTCCCTTCCTCTCCCCACAACAGACACCCTGTGGGACTGAGAGGCCTCTGAGAGAACTGCTCTGACAGAGTGGTTAACCACTGCACCAAACTGGCTTAGAAGGACAGGGTTTACTCCTACTGGATTTAAGGGGAGTGGAGCACCATCAATTTCCACCTTTCCTGATCTTAAAGTAATTTTATAAATTTGGTCA